TCTACTACTGAAATTGGAATGAAAGGTTTGGCCAACCCATGATGCCTTTAACCTATGGTGGTCCTTAGTGGTCAGATGAGTTTCCTGTAGAAAGGCAATTTCCGTTTTAAGGTGTTTTAAGTGGGACAAAATTCTGCCTCTTTTAACCGGGGCATTCATGCCCTTAACATTCCAGGAGACAAGTCTTAGACATGCTTCACCATTTCCTGTTAAATTAACCATCATCAAAATATGAGCCTGAAGTACATGAAGAGGTAGTATGCAGCCTATTTAATGGAAAGCAGGAGAAACGAACAACAAAAATACAAAAAACTAAAATAAACATATAGTAGGACCGAACACCCAAATTCTCCCCAAAAAAAGAAATGCTCTCAAAAAGGAGAGCCAAACACACATTCCCTTTCCTAAGCTTGATCCTAAAATGAGAACTAGCAGCAGGACTCCAAAAAAATATGTCACTTCCGTATGTTAACCTATAATCTAACTTATGTTCCTGAGCAGACAGGGCTCCTATCTCTACAATTGGTCTGACATGCAGAGTAAACAGTCTAGTTTTGTTTGTAGCCAATACAAAGTTAACCGCACAAACCTGAGATTGTTCCTAGCAAGGCTTGTTTCCCCCGGACCGTGCCCCTTTAACACCGGAAGTGGCCATAGTAAACATCACACAACAACAGAGAAAAGCTAGTGCACATGCTGGATAACAACATCCATCCATACCTCACGGTGGATCCATATCAGGATATCTTAATACAAACAGACTCAGGTTAAACATTTCAACTTCACCGTTTCCTGAGATGTCCGTTTGTGAGTGTTTATTTGCCGTGCATTCAGTCCAGAGAAAGTCTGTGCTCCACAGCCTCCCACTACTCCGGCGGGACAATGCGTTGGATGTAGAAGTCCTGGGCTTTTTGCGGACAGTCAAAGTAGTAGTCGTCATTTCTAAAGGAAACACGAAGACGAGCTGGGTGCAACAGGCGGAATTGTATTCCTTTCTGATAAAGATAATTCTTGATGGGGATGAACGCAGCTCGCTTTTTGGCTAGGACGGAGCTGATATCAGGATAAACTCTCAACTCGGTGCCGCCGTAATCCAGCTTGTGTTGTCTGGCCCATCTTAAGACTGCTTCTTTTTCCTGGAAACGGAGGAATTTTACAATGAAGGCCCGAGGTTTCCCCGTGTTGTTGGAGTCTCCCGGTCTGGGACCCAGGGAGCGGTGGGCTCGTTATTTCTCCTGAGGACTGCTGAGAACACCGGGACCCGTCACCTCCATTATCAAGTCAGACACAAACTTTATCGGGTCCTGACCCCTCTCGCGCCCCTCGGGTATGTTTATTATCCTCAAGTTGGACCGCCTGGACCGGTTTTCGAGGTCATCCACCCGCTCCTGGAGTGTGATGGTTTGGGACTGTAGGGACTGAACAGTGGCTTCCATCAAGGTGAGTTTCTCAAAGTTTTCACCCACCACTACTTCGGTTTTGTCGAGGCGGCAGTTGAACGATGCCACTTGTTGTCCCAGTGAGTTTACCGACCTCTCCAGGGAGTCCGTTGATTCTTTTAACAGTCTAGCCATATCGGATTTTAAACTATCACTTTGTTTACTGAGAAGAGCCTCCAGGTCCCCCTTGGTAACTGGGCAAGCGGCAGCCATGTTAGCTGCTATCTTAGCCGCTGTGGTCGCAGCTCTGGTTGTTTGTGTGGTTGATGTCGATGGCTGTTTCTGTTTCCCCTTAGACATTACTTCATAGTTCCCTTAAATATGAGCGTGGTTTGATTCGGTTACCAGATCGGCTTTGAGTAGTATTTGAAAGGTATAGAAAAGTTTGTCAGGAGCCCTCCACGCACACGTCTGCTCACTCCCTCATCAAACGGAAGTCAGCACATTATCCACTTTGATTATCTGCTGCCACCTACTGTCCAGATATGTCATATTTAATGCAGCCGAACCATGTATTACAATGCCGGTATGTGATGACTTTCAAAGAGAAAAGCAAGCACACTCGGAATAAAGTATTATTATTTTTTTTTTTAAATGTTTTCGGTCTGTTTCCGGTATTTGTTAATGACGATGTGCTGTGAGATGTGAGACTGGAATTGCACAGGGGGAAATAACGTAGGCTATCTTTAGATGCAGATTTTGTTAAACTAATATGTTTGCGCTGTGGACCAACACTATACATTGACGGGGAAGGGGGTAGCAATAAAGATAACAGCATTAAACAGTTACACAACATAACAGAAATAATATCGATAGCAGCGTCCCTAGCAACCACCTTGGTAACAATGAAAACGTTATGGATGCAATTTCCTGAAGTAATCTTCGTAATAACTAGCAAACAAAAGATCATGTACATCCACTGCACACATAATCTGAAATAACAACTCATATTTCTCGCATCAAATGACATCAAAACGCATATTAATGGCCAAACTAACTTTAAAATAGGCATTTTCCACCGAGAATAAAACGAAGTTCGGCCATGTTTTTTTTTCAAACAGAGCACATGGTGTAGTCCAAACGATAGCTGGGGATTCTGGGTAGTGTCGTGTCTTCTGCCATCCTTTACTCTGAAAAAATATTTGTTTCTCCGAATCGAAGGGGAAAAATACAAAAGCATTGCACACAATTTAAACCAATCAATGTTGTGTAATTAACAAGGATAAGCTGGTGTTTTTTAGTCGATGAATAGTGCAGATATCACTGTAAAATCAATCGACAGTAAGGGGAATACTTACTTCCGGGTGTACAATTCTCCGTTATCCAATGAGAATGGACGCTCACATTGCCTTTAAGGGCAGTCGACACAAACGAATGCCGTGCTTCCATGAGCGTCCATAGAAACATATGGACATCCCGGAAAGCTGAAAATGGACGCTAAGGCCCCCCCCCCCCCTTGCGTTGGAAAAAGCCGACACAGGGGACTTGACATAACGTCAACATAGGCCGACCTGGGAGTGAGGATGTGTTGACTAAGGAGGGGACTCTGACAGAGGATTACTCACAAAGTACACAGCAAAAATACTTCATTTTATTTCTGGTAGAAGTCAAACTAGAACAGAGTCCAATAGTGTCAGTTTCCTTAAGAACTTGTGGTAAAACATATTTGTATCACTCGTCAAATATAGCAGGAATGAAGAGCAGCTGATTTAAAAAAAACTCGAGAGGCGGCGGAGTTGACCGCGGTGCAGAATCGCTGTAGCCTATAGTTTAAATCTCCTAACAACGTTGTCCATTTTAGACAGAGGCTTATTATATTTACAGCCCTTAATAACATCCATTTTCTGGGCTCAATATGTGTCTTGGCCGTTTTCGTTGTGATCGCTAAATTCACCTTGTTTCCCTTTGTTTATAATATTATCACCGCTTTTGTTTTGAAATCACTTCCGTGAGTTTCGCCCCGCCCCTCGCTCCAAGGACCATTAGACCATTTAGTAAGGTAAAAAGCAAAAGCAAAAACGCCTCTCAGACGCTCTTCCGTTTACGTGTTTAATAAAGAAAAACAATTGGACGGTAGATACACGGATTACAATACCTCAGACTATATCGCATATTCAAAGCATTTTATGACAGTTATGCTCAGAAGTATCTGAAATGTAAAAACACAATAGCAATAAGAGGGCAGCAATTTGGCGAATAAATAATTTGTACTAATCAAATTATATCAAACAAGAGTCGTACGTTTCTAAATCTCCTTGAATGTAATTATTCTGATCACAGTATAACACAAACAGGTTTTATGGGTATTATTCATTTGATTTCATGATCCCCTGTGTTTGCGTCAAGTATATATTACTTTCTATTTTTCTCCGAATTCGAAAAAAAACAAGTTTGACAGTTAAAGGGAGTTCATATACTACCAGAGGGAGTGCGTGTCTGTATGAGAGCCTTTCATTCATTACAGGGTTAGATATATAATCTGTCTAACACATTTCAGATTGTTATTATAAATCATACTACTATATAAATATAGTTGTATTGTGATGTACATGAGAAAAGCTGTGCTAAATGAAGGTCTCTCACTGTTGAGTAACAAAGACTGTATTTAAAACACAGCCAGGGCCTGTCCTGATGGGAGTGTGTTTGCAGACAGCAGAATTACCTCTGTTTAACAAATAATTGTTTACAACTACTGCCTTTTTTCACCTTGAGTCTTTAAAACAACATCTCGCCTAACTATATTACTAGTTTTATTGAGAATATGAAGCATTTTAAGTTGTTCAGGAGATCATTTATAGGAAAAAGTCGCAGATGAGTCCTTCTCACGGCAGTAGTTTTAGGAGGTTTAAAGGCTTCCCAATGAAAACACAACAATATTCAAAGCTTTATTTGGCTTCTATATGAAGATAAAGTAATTCGCTATCAATTCGATGAACCTTTGAAATTCAATTCGTTCTCTAAATGTGTATTTTTTACAGTTTTATCTGAAGAGAAAGCACAAAGTGGCACAGTTTTTCTGCAGCTCCTGTGTGAGCCACTGAGTTGAGTCTCTACGGTTCTCATGGTGAGTTTAAGTTCCTCTCTTCGCTGGGATTTCTCTCTCCGTCTCATCAGACCGAGAATCCTCCTGACAGCATCATGGCCACAGAAGAAGCTCCCACTGAAGTCTCCGCCGCCGCCGCCCCGGCAAAGGCACCAGCAAAGTCCCCGAAGAAGAAGGCAGCCAAGCCGGCCAAGAAGGTTGGTCCCGGAGCCGCTGAGCTCATCTTGAAGGCGGTCACCGCCTCCAAGGACCGTAAAGGGATCTCTTACATCGCGGTGAAGAAGGCGCTGGCCGCTCAGGGCTACGAACACACCGCTCACATTAAACGCGCCGTGAAGAGGTTACTCGAGAATGGAGCCCTGGTGCAGGTCAAGGGAACCGGAGCCAGCGGCTCCTTCAAGGCAGCCAAGGCCGCCGAGAAGCCCAAGAAGGCAGCGAAGAAGCCCGCAGCCAAAGCCAAGAAGCCGGCAGCAGCAGCAGCGAAGAAACCCGCCGCTAAGAAGCCAGCTGCCAAGAAGGCAGTAACTCCCAAGAAGGTAGCGAAGAAGCCTGCTACTGCTGCCAAGAAAACCCCCGTGAAGCAGATCACTAAGAGCCCGAAGAAGAAGGTGGCGGCCAAGAAGGCAGCACCCAAGAAGGCAGCGACCCCCAAGAAGACAGCACCCAAGAAGGCAGCGACCCCCAAGAAGGCAGCGACCCCCAAGAAGACAGTAACCCCCAAGAAAGCTGTGAAGAAGGCGGTTAAACCAGCTGCCAAAGCAGCGAAGAAGGCACCAGCCAGGAAATCATCGAGGAAGTAAACAGATCCTCTACTTCATCTCCAAAAGGCTCTTTTAAGAGCCACCCACATACACCGAAAGAGCACTCTCCTGTTTTAATATTTAATTTAGCATAAATACAAGTTTGTTAAAGTCTGCTGCATATTTATTTGCAAAACCAGAAGATGTTGTGGTTATTTATCATTATCGTATAAGTTAGTTAATTTTACAACACATTCTATTATGTTGCTATATTAGTAGACATTCACTTCACAGAAGGCTCCTCTGACAGTCACTCACAACATACATATTTTCCATATACTTGATAGTGTATAAACCCTATGTAAATATTTTGTAGGCCTATATAACTTCATATAAATGTACATCGAAACTTATTTAATGCTACATATCATTGTGACTATTATTACACATTAATTTACTTTTACTTGAGGAGATCGGATTAGCTCCTGATTTTGATAATAAATACATTATTTTACTTTATTTTGTATGTTTAATAATTAGATTATATTGGATATACTTTAATGGTCACATTGGTCATTTGTTTTGTCACTTCAGCATGCCAAACTATCTTATAGTGTGCTTCACTTTGATCCTTTAAGTATACTTTATTTTTAAATATTTCTCTAAGAATACACTATATTGTTTGAGTATATGTGAATAGTCAGATCTATTTTATAGTATATGTTATTCGATGATTTAATTATGTGAGGTATTTTGTACTTGACACAGTGAATGGACTAACGCTTCTCTGATTGGTCGATGGTAGTACCACTCGACCTGACCAATCAGCGGCCAGATGTTCACTCTATAGACCACCACCAATCGATGAGGAAGTATTGTTTTCTGCTAACCTAAACAGAAAATGTCAGGAAGAGGCAAGACCGGAGGAAGAAAGTTTTTTTAATTATTGGACTTGATCAAAAGAAAGCCTTCCACTATTTATCCAGGGATTACTTATGGTCGGTGATGAAGGCCTACGGATTTCCTGAAGCCTTCATAAACATGATTAAGTGTCTGTATTTTAAATCTTGTGTCTGTGTAAATGTAAACGTTGTGTTAACAAATGCATTCAATGTTGAGAGAGGGGTTAAGCAGCAGGGGTGCCCTCTAAGCGCAGCTCTGTACGTGCTAGCCATAAGTCCATTCATTAAAATAACAAACAATGACAGGTTCATATCAGGAACACCAGTTGGCCATGCGCCCAAAATAACTGCCATCGCCTGCAGACGATGTTACTGTTATAATAAAAAACCAACAGGAAATGGATGTTCTAACAAACCACCTAAACCTATATGAATTAGCATCAGGAGCTAAATTAAACCACAGCTAAACTGAAGGTGTTTGGATCGGCACCGACGATGCCAAATGTGACATTAACATTCACATGAAAAAAGAAATTAAAATACTTGGAATAACTAAGTACCGTGATGCCGTCACCTACACCGAGCACGCCAATATTTTACTAGAATTTAAGTAAAGTGGTTTGTACTGCATTAATCGAGAGGATAAACCAACTTTCACGCTTTCCTTTATTTAACATTATAACGAGGGGACTACTGGGTAAACACTGGCTGCGAGAGGCTGTGTCGCAGGTGTATGTCTCTGGGATGCATCCACCGGGATCAGTGGGCTCTCCATCAGAGGAATGTCATCCTCTACGCCGGCTTTGCACGGAGGAATGACGGTGGAAGACATTTGCAGTGCTGCATCTTGGTCTTCCCCCTGTTCGTTCATTCAATTGTATTTGAGGGATGTCTCCCATTCCTCGCTGACACACTCAGTACTGAGTGTCTTGTCGGAGTGAGTGATGTCAGCAGTACTCGAGTTGAGGGGGGATGAGGGGGGATGGCATCCCCCCTGAAATAAAAACGGTCAAAATCATCCGCCTTCTAAAACTGCCATTCCCCCTTTCCATCCCTTGTTAATTTTAACAATGAACGTGGCACTGGTATTACTGCTATTTCAACATTAATTTTGCTGCATCTTGGTCTTCCCCCTGTTCGTTCATTCAACTGTATTTGAGGGATGTCTCCCATTCCTCGCTGACACACTCAGTACTGAGTGTCTTGTCGGAGTGAGTGATGTCAGGGATCCAGCTGTGCGCCTCTCTCTCCTGCCTCTCGGCACGCAGGGAATGCCCCCCCCCCCCCCCCTCTTTTATCGCTGGACAACGTGTGACCTTCGTCTCTACTTTTCACAGCGGCAGTTTTTTATTGTTCCCAGCCTTCGCCCCCTCACGGAGAGTATTCATGTGTTATGCTATATTTCCAGGGACTGTGATGCACCATTACACATGGCGCAATAGGCCTTAGTGATGGGAGTCATCAGAACTAGTATCAGTTCAAGTTATGATGAAACATGTGCAAATACATTGCCTTAATACACTCTTCAATCCACTATGAGTTTACCACCTGGAATGCTCGTGGTATTCAGTCTAAAGACAACAACAACAACAACAACAACAACAACAACAACAACACCACATGTATTATTTGTTGGAAAGTAACTTTGACATCCTGCCACTCTAAACTAAGTGGTTTTGAAGCCTTTTAATGATTCCCGAGATTTTAAGAAAGGTCGTCAGGATGATTTGTAACTACACATTTTAAATGTTTAAAAAATATATACCTCTTTGTGACTATCCAGTATATCACACAATACCTGTGTTAGAAAATACTTTTGAACACTTTTCAGGTATTTGTTCTTTATTTTAATTCTATAATCTTGTAAGTATAACAGAAATCTAAATATCAACATGTCCTGAACAGATAACTTGTCAGATATCACACTTTATCAGTTTAGATAACAGGACTGATTTACATATGAAATGACAACGGTGTTTTAGGCACCAAAATGTATGCGTTTAAGGCTAAACATTTCATCATGGAAATAAGTAGGTCTGTATTATCTTCACTGCATTTGAGGATGAACACCTAACTCAATAATGGGCCTGTGAACTTCCAGCCATACCTGTGGAGGAAATGAATTACAAGCATTTCATCAAGAAACTACACCAACCAGCTACAACAAGCTGATGTCCAGCAGTAATAGTAAAAGACAGCTCTTCTCATATAATTATTACAACCAAAAACATGTATGGCTTATATTAAACCAATTTCATTCACATTAAAAAAGCCCTTTTAACCTGAACTAATTCATCACCAAACAAGTCTTACACCTTTTCCCTTTCCACGTTGATTCTTTCTATTTTTACACTGAATCTTCTAATTCATAGCAATACATTATCAACTAATTATGTTTCCCACATTCTTTAAGTCTCACATTTACTGTGATGTAATATGGTGTCATTGAGTCCTGATCTACAACATTCTACATTCACCTATATTATTTGACATTGACAGATTTAAGTAAGGGATAATGTGCAGCAACGCGGTCATTATGGGGAAAAGAACACCGACAGGCTGATCAGGAGCCCGACGCGAAGCGGAGGGATCTAGATCGGCATGAAGGTGTTATTTTCCCCATAATGACCAAGTCGCTGCACATTATTCCGCTTATTACATGGCCACATTCTCAACAAAGTAACGTTATGAATCCCAATATTAATTGAAATGCTTTTATGGATTTAGAAAATTATTTTATTGATTTAAAAAATAGTTGTATTGATTTAAATTGACTTGTTACATGGCTTAGTTGAATACTCGATTCTGATTGGTCAATTCAGAACACGTGACACGTTGTTAATACCGAACAGACAGACCGCTGTCAAGCACTTATTGACCGTTGTTAAGGACGCTCACATCTTCAGAAAGAAGTCCGGTCGATGTAACTGTATACCGTTGGGCCGTAAAGCAATTCGAACTGGGACATGAAAAACAGCGCAGAAGTAACGGGGCAGAAACCCTCCTTTTTACGCAGCGGTCCAGACATAGACATCAAACGGCAACACATATTCAGTTGCCAGTTACTTTGGCATTAGGGCAGGGATATCTAGATACTTTCCAAGGTTTGACATCATGAATTGTGCTACTTTTAAAGCAAGGAGCGATGTTTTCAAATCTGTAATCAAAAAGCTCCTCAAAAACGCAAGCAGTTCCTACCGTTGGCTTTTCAAACTGACAAGAGACGCTCTAACTGTTTTTCAAATGTAACAGTTTGAAAAGCAAACTGTCTGATTGTCTTTAGTTTTCCGCTGTCGTGTGAGAGCAACATGGAGGATTTTAACATTAATTTTAATATATTTGGAGAGCACAGTAATTTGGAGGAATGGTTAGTGGCTGATGAGTCCCCAGTGAAGAAAATAAAAAGACAAGAGGGACAAGAAAACAGCGGAGAAGTAACGGGCAGAAACCCTCCTTTTGACGCAGCGGTCCAGACATAGACATCAAACGGCGACACATATTCAGTGTGCCAGTTACTTTGGCATCAGGGCAGGGGTCTCTAGATACTTTCAAGGTCTGACTTCATGAATTGTGCTACTTTTAAAGCAAGCAGCGATGTTTTCAAATCTGTAATCAAAAAGCTCCTCAAAAACGCTATTGAAGCAGTTCCTGCCGTTGCTACGTTAGTTCAAACGGTAACAACGGACTATTTTTCTTAGCGGATGGATGTCAATTTAAATCAATACAACTATTTTTTAAATCAATAAAATAATTTTCTAAATCCATAAAAGCAATAATGACGTTAAAGAACGGCCTCTCGTGTATGATTGCGATTCTATAACACAAACTATCATTGTAATCAACAATATCGTAAAATAATTTCATAATGTGCTAATTTGCTCCCAAACCTTCACTTTCTGCTTGAGTTAATCTCCGTCAGAAAGTAGTTCCTATAAAGTAGTTCCCTTGGTAACGAGAGCCGATCAATCGAACACTCCTGCTTCCCCGCTTACAGTTATTGATATCATTATAGTAAATAATATATTATTAACCAATTTATTGAAAACAATTTATTGACAACAATTCTTGAATTAGGCTATTTATTTATTTACATATTTAACATTTTGGCTTCAGAATGAAGGTGGATGTTCATGCTGCCATTAAACGTGCAATTTTTGAAACAACTCATGAACTCCATGCCAGACTTTTTTGCAGTTGGTGCTGTGGTGTTCACGGAAGAGCTTTCCTCCAGTGGCCGTTTGGCGTGTCCCGGA